AAGTTATACATATATAACTAACTTCTGTGGGAATTATTTTGCAACCCTCTCTCAAACTTCGCTACGTCACTGAATGAACGATTTTTATAAACTGCTAAAGAAACTTAAAATATACTACAAATAATTGGAAAATTTTCTTTTAAAGATATATAAGTTTATCAAAATTTAACACAGGTGCTATATGAAGTTATTCTGATGAATACCTGATATATTAAAAACTTTAACTATCTCTGATATACTCAAATTTCCAGTTACTCACATATGTCTAAATTATCTATAAGCTTTTTATTTTACACCAATCAGCAGTATCTACTTGAAAACACCTCATTTCATAATCTGAATACTAAATAATCCATATGATAATCAAATAAGATTTGAGATTTATATCTGGGTAAATACTAGTAGATAACCAAATCTTTGATAACAAATTTCAAGTAAACTTTTTTATAAGATTTTCAATATTTTTTAATTTTTAAACATCATAATTTTTATTTTAATTTGTAATCAATAACTACTGTCATCATTAGCTTTATATACAAAAAACAGGACGCACAGGAAGATATGCTGATCTACGGTTCGTCATCAGTTAGAAGATAAATAAATGATAATGATTCTAGTATAGTTTAAGTTTAGTGTGCGGCAGGGATAAGCCCCCAGCCACAAAAGAGTAAAAGTGCGGAATAGCACTAACTCAAATCACAACAACAACAAAAATATTACAGATAAGTCGTGTACTGCTTTGGGTAAGTTCATTCTGAACATTGACTCTGAGCTACAAATTTGGCAGGGCACGAGTTTAACCCTTGCAGTACTTTCAGTCTTAATAAACTATTTACGAATAAATATATATAAGAAATAATTCCAAGACCATTGATGTTGGGTATTTAGAAATAATCCAAAGAACCAGCTTAACTAAATCGAATGTCATATTCTTAGATATGTTAGAAGTTTTAATATGAATATAGAGGATACATTATAAAACAGTATGACTCTAAAATATCTGCTTTGAGTCCGCAATCCGTTTATCTCGCAGACATGTGGGGCTCTGACAAAATCAAGTTTTTAAATGGTTAATAAAATAATACGAATATTGTGACTTCAGGAATAAATAGATAAACTGTTTTGCTTTAAATATGCTTTCACAAATTGATCTCCTTCCCTACCAAAATAGGGATTATTGAAATATTTCTTAAAACTGTTTTTTTTTTTTGGTTTGAAGCCTTTGATTTTAAGAAAAGTCTGTCTTGGAGAGGTAAGAAAGGGAATTTGGAAATTTACTTGATATTTGAAGTCTTAAATCTTGGAAGAAATATTGGACTATTTCTTTATTTGATACTAAGTGATACTATTTGACATGAACTTATTAAAATTTGTTGACTTCATCAGTCACTGCATAGAGAATCATTTTAGATGGTTATCCAGAAATTCAATTGAATAATAAAAAATTTTGTTGTTGTGATTTACTACTGTTCATAAATACCTCTCCATTAAATCAATGGTTTCTATAAAGAAATATGGTTGTTTTCGCCATAATTGACATTAAAAATCAAATCACTTTAGATAATTCTAAAGCCATTGAACCGGTTGAACTTTTTGATATGTTAACTTCGTACAAAAAATTTTAATTATTCACTTTAATTAAAAATACTTTTTTGAAGATATATACTAAAAACTAACTAATAATTTAATTAGCTGTATTAAAAAAATAAATCAACTAACTTTAGGCTTATAGATTTCAATAAATTGGTGCTCACGTTTTTCGACATTACAGATGGAGACTATATGAGGAGCACATTGGACACACTTCATTGTTGCTAATTTTGCTACAATTTCACATACTTAATATATTGTATTCATATATAATAAAAATACGTAATATTACTAAATATTAGCAAATATTTTTAAAAGTCATACATAACTTATATGAAATGCCTTATAATTTTCTTCACGCAGTGAAACAGCGAAAAAGTAATAAAATTAAAAAAACTACGAAATACATAAATAAATATATGTACCTAATATATATGTATATAAATCATATATGTATATAAATCTTTTATTCGTAAAATATTTGTACACGTTTTTCGCACTTAGAAACTTTTTATGACGACATGATTGACACATAATATTTTAGCATGGATTTCTACTGTGTGATTTTATATACGCGTTGTGTATATAAAAAATATCATTTGTCACACAGAAGTAGGGCAACTTGACGGCTGTATTAGGATTTGCTTAATAATTGACAGTATACGTATAAAAAGCATGACAGCTCATAATGAGAGACATGAATTTTAAATACATCATAGAGTAGATCTTCAAAATATATACCATATAAGTGCCTTTTGAAGTACCTAACTGGTGTATGTAATAAGAAATATTTATAAAATATTTGTGGCATTAAATCTGCTTTAAAAATTAAAAAAATATCATTTTAATAAAAAATTTACTATCAGCTGTTTACCATATACACCTGATTTGACATCAACTTTCAAAAAAAATGCATTCATCAATGAAGCAAAAGTTTTTGTGGACGTGAAAGTCATCCAAAAGAATTGTACCAAAATTTTGGATCAAGTTATTTTAATCCATGTATGTTACCGTTCAATTATATTCTGCTTTATTATGTTGTTATTAAGTTTTAATAAATGAAATAAACTGTAGTTTATAATATTAAAATCATTTTATAAGTACCTATAATAATTTTATAATTATCTATCCATATTCATCTGACTCCATATAATATTCTTTTAAAAACAAACCTGCAAATGAAAATCTCACATCATGATAATCAATTGGCAATTTTAAAAATAAATCTATTAAAAATCTAAACTATTCATCTAGACATTTTGTACTACTATTAAATTTGATAACTAGAAGAACATCTATTTGAAATCTGTAGCAGATTTGTTCTTATATTTGCTTTTACTTTACAAACAATTAAAAAACTTAAAGAAAATACATCTAATAGAAATTGAAGAGTTCAAAAATTTTGGACAGTGTATATTATTGTTAGGACCGATTACTAAAAAGTCTGTCTATTATACTATTATATCCTCATAAGAGACAGGTAAGATTCCAAATCCCATAAAGAGTTTTAAATCAGTTCTTATCGAGCAAGGAATTAGCTAACTTTATAAATAAATCTATTGGAATAGTCCAACTATTTTAGACATTTTGTACTGTTGTAAAAGCTGATTAATAATTTGGTATCTATGTTTGGTATAAAATAGATCTGCGGTCTATTTGATATCAAATGGATCTGCGATCTATTTGGTATCAAACAGATCTGCGGTCAATTTGGTATCAAATAGATATACAGTGTATTTGGTTGCCGAATAAGCATATGGCAAACTTAAAAAATATATTAAATAAATTGATTAGTTGATTAGTCGAAACATTTCGCAAATTTAGTACTGCTGTTAAAACCAATTACTAAATAGCAGTTCATTCAGAATCTATAGCAGATTGATCCCCACACCTAACCTTACTAAATTAACAATTGACAAGCATATAAAATAAATATCGTATAAATATAATGAAAAGTACAAATATTTTATATGTTTCATTCTACTAATTAAGCCAATAACTTAACAGAAATCTAACAGAAATTTAGTTGTCTAAAAATTTTGAACATTTTGTTATGCTATTTAAGGCAATTACTAGAAGACAATACCAGACCTTAGCGAATAAACAATTGACAAACATATGAAATAAACATTGTGTAAATAAATATATTCCAAATATTTTATACGCTTTATAGTATTTCATAAGAAGATTACTTAACAGAAATCCAACAGAAATTCAGTTGTCCAAACCTTATGGACATTTTGTTCATTTTGTTTAAGCCGATTACTAGAAGACAGTATATTTAGAGTTTATTACAGATTCATTCTTGTGTCAGATCTTAACAAATAAATAATTAGTAAATATAAAAAAAATTTTTGTATTGAAAATTAAATACTCCAAACATTTTGGACATTTTCTACTGCTCTTAAAGCAGATCACTTAAAGGCGGTCTTACTTGGAATTTGTCACAAATTCATCCGTATACCTGATCCTACCAAATAAGCAATTTGGTATGGTATGCTTAAAAAATAAATCTATTGGAAATTGAATAGTCCAAATATTCAAACATTCTCACAGATTCATCCTTATACCTGACCTTACCAAATAAACAATCTGGTATGGTATGCTTAAAAAATAAATAAATGTACATTTTATTTTGCTTTTAACTAAGATTACTTAAAGATGATCTATTTAAAATTGGTCAAAGATGCACCTTTATAAGTAATTGTCCAAATTTAAAAATTAAATCTAATAGCAATCAAATCGAATACCAACCAAATAAACAATCTGGTATGGTATGCTTAAAAAATAAATCTATTGGAAGTTGAATAGTCCAAATATTTTGGACATTTTATTTTGCTTTATGTAAGATTACTTAAAGATGATCTATTTGAAATTGGTCAAAGATGCACCTTTATAAGTAATTGTCCAAATTTAAAAATTAAATCTAATAGCAATTGTGTAGTCCACATATATATCGTTATCAATTTCAATATCAATTTCACCAGTACATCATTCCAAAATGTCCAAAAGCATAAGTGTTCTGTCAAAAGCAAGCTGTCTGGTAACTTTATACGAAAAGCTGTATTTAAACCAAATAATTAAAATGAAGTAAATAAACAATAGTCAAAACTATGATTCATCAAATAAAATAAAAATAATGAGTAAAAAAAACACAAAGCGCTTGCAATATTGTTGGGTTGAGCTGCGATGTGTAAAAACCTCATTAAATCTGATATGTAATTATCGGTTGTGAAACACTTTGTACGGATGAATATATATGAGAGTGCATTTATCTCGCATTAATAATCGGTGGAGTTGGAATTGATATATATATATATATATATATATGTATTTTATTGTGTTTGGCCCGATGTGTGCGGCATAAATAGCGCCAATTGCGAAAATTCACTTATTTCAGATCAACTTACCTGGGAACAAATCGAGAAAAAATGCTGGCGCTATTGTTTTGTATCTGAACTGCTGGTAGCTGGAGCAGTAGCGGTGGCAGTGGCGTCGGCAGCGACTGCGTTTGCAAATCAAACTCAATTAGCAGTTAAATTAGCAGTAAAATCCACAAAGCAAAATAGTTTCGTTTCATTCAACGCCAAAAGCAGATTTATTTTAACAAATTTTAATGATGAGAATTAATGTGCGAATTTATGTATGACTGAATGACTGACTAAATGCATGAATGACTGAATGACTGAATGACTGAATGACTGCTTGAGCGAATGAATGAAAATTATTATTGCAAAATTTTGCAAATTGAAACGTTCGACAGGAATGGATTTTTATTTTGTTCGTTAAATCTGCACTCAAAACTTTTTCACTATCAGAAAATGATAAGATTTTTTTTTATTATTTTTTTTATTTTATTTTTATTTGCTTGTTTGAGCAAAACAAAAAAAAAATTAAACAAGAAATTGCAATTGTTAGCATTAAATAAGTAAGTAAAATTTTATTTTTATCAATTGCAAGAAATTTGATAAAATCACAAAATATTGAATGGAAATGATTAATTTAGTTAGAATAGTGCTTTGTGCAATTTTTTTTTAATTTTTTTTTTTTTGAATTTTTATTTATAATTTTTTTTTTTTTGAATTTTTATTTATAATTTTTTTTTTTTTGAATTTTTATTTATAATTTTTTTAAAATTTTTAAAATTTTTTTAATTTATTTCCAATTTTGTTTTTATATTTATTTAATTTATTTCACATTTTTTAATTTTTATTTTATTTATGATTAGTTTCGTTAGAATAGTACTTCGAGCAATTTTTTTTTAAACTTTTTTTAATAAATTTTTAATTTTTTTTAAATTTCTTTTTAATTTTTTTCTAATTTATTTCCAATATTTTTTTAATTTTTATTTAATTTATAACTAATTTCGTTAGAATAATGCTTCGAGCAATTTTTTTAATTTTTTTCTATAATTTTTCTAATTTTTTCAAATTTTTTTTTAAATTTATTTTTATTTTTTTTTTAATTTTTGTTTTAAATTTCTTTTGCATACAAATTTAAATTTTTTACATACAATTATTTTTCATTATTATATTTTAGTAATTATTTATTACTTTTTTTTCAAATTAAATTTCACTTTTGTTATTGTTATTATTAACGGTTGTTTTTTTTTTTGTTTTTGTTTAGCCACAGAATTTCAAAATATGTTAATAACAGAATTAAAATTCATGGAAGCCAGCAGAAAACTGTTCCGGTTTGGTTCCGGCGAGTAGCCAAAAATTCGTTAACACGTACTAATTTTGCCCAAACAACGAATTAGGAAGTTAAGCACAGGAGGCTGAGCATACGGACCGCACGGGAACGGAAGGCAAGAGTGAGTATTTGTTTTTGTACTCTGACATCTAACAAAACGGGGAACGCACTTTAAGCCAAAACGTCATGTAGTGAAGTGACTATGTTAAAGTTTAGCAGAGGCGCGTAAATGGCTTAGAAAGAAAACACCTGCGCCGGTGGACAAATTTATACACACACACGTCGTTTATTTGCAGAAAATTTAATATTTATTAAATTGAAATATAAGAATAACATATATTCAGAGTGTGCTGAATTAAATACACAAAAAAAAAAAAGAATAATTATATTATTTCATACAGAAAGAAAATCACTTCGAAATGATCGTTGCGCACACACCGTAAACACACTCAATCTACAAAGCGATTTCAAAACGAACTGAGCTCTGGCGTATTGGCGTTATTGCTTGCGCTCAAATTTCTACACACATTTTTTTTTTGTTTTGTTTGATTTTTGATATTGAGAGTATTACACAAAAATATAACACAATTACACAAACAATATGAGTTGGGCAAGAAACAAACAAAATTTTTAAAAATAATTTATTATGAATATTAAATTATTTATTTTATTTTTTAATATTATAAGAAGAATATTTATTAACAGTTTTTATTTTTTTATATATAAAATTAATATGCACAGCAAACCACTTTGTGCCTTTGTGCTCTTCACACTAAAAGTGTGTAGAGTTGGCAACACTTTTCCGCTGTGCAATGTCTTGTTGCTCTGTTATGAGAAATGGTTATAGGAGAAACTAAGTAAATGCAGAAGAGATCGTAATAACTCAAAACAGCTGTTGTATGCGCCTGGCATAAAAAAAACATGTTAACTGAGGCAGATTGCATGTAGCGACTTGCTTACAACATGCTTTCATGTAATAAATAATGTAAGCAACAGTCAATATGAAAAAAAATATTTTTTTAATATTACAAATTATATGGAATCAATAAATAATAGTTGCATGGAAATATCATAAAAAAGAAAAGAGTTATAGTTTTAATACAAAAATGCGTATAATACATTTTAGGTCCATTGTAGAAATATGAGTATATAAGTGTTATATACTTACATACATTATTACAGTTTATTATATATGTATGTACATACATATATACATGTATAAACACATACATATGTATTTGCACAAGTAAATAAAAATATAATTATTTTTAATTTTAATATTTATGACTTATTTTGTTTTTATATAGTTACATACACACATACATTTGTATATATGTACATACATACATATGTAAGCATATTTATATAAAGTTATGTTACCCCCATTATGTTTTTCTAAATACATACATAATTTTTATATACAATTTTTGTTTATTTAATTGCTTCAATAAATAATTAAAATTAAATTAATTTAATTAAAATAATACATATATGTACATACATAAATAAGTATGTACATCCATATGTATATACATATGTAGAAAAACTCATAACAAACATTATATTAAAAACAATGATTTGTTTACCCAAGAGGTTTACTCACATACATACATACATACATACATACATACATACATACATACATACATACATACATACATACATACATATGTATACATTTGTATATATCTTATTTTTATAATGTATTATTATTATTATTGCAATTACTAGTCCGCGACATTAGTATCACTAGTCCCTACGATATTATATTTTTATTTCCGATGATATCATTAAACACTATATTGGTATTATATTATCTTTCGATATTAGGTTAGGTTAGGTTTGGAAGGCGCGTGCTGACCGTTGTCAGCACTTCCACTCGAAGGCATATATTGCTCATTGTGATGCCCTCAAAAATTTTGCCGGGAGAGGCGAATTGCTAAGCTTTGTAATTCTTGTTAAACCATTTGGTTTTTTCAGATGAAGTTGAGGAGATCCGATAAGTTTACTTTCATTATCTCTTCCAAGTGCGTAAAAAAGCGATCCCCGAGATATTGAAGTCGCTTTGTCTAAAGTCCTGGACAGAGACAAAGGACGTGGTTGATAGATTCTACCTCCTTTTCATCTTGGCAACTCCTGCATAAACCGCTTGTTGGAATTCGCCACCGTTGGAGCATAGGTACAACTTGGCAGAGTGTCATCTTTCGATATTAGTAACAAGTTTTGCAAAACATGTTGACGGCCATAGATGCACCTATGCTCCACAGTCGTAACTTTAGACTAAAAACTTACTTGGGTATGAATTAAGTCAACAAAGTTAAAGACTTAAGCATTACTTAAGTCAATATTGTAGCTTAAGTTATGACTGTGAAATTTAAATTTTACCGATAATGATATACAGATTACAGATTTTTCTGACATGATCCACATGAATCCACTATGAAAGCTTAATACAATGGTGCTCCAGAATAATTCGTTATTAAACACCCCCATTGTAATTCCAAGAAATTCTAATATTTACCAATTGAAGCTATATGTTTGAATATAGTTTTCCCTCTATAAGGGATTGACACCTCAGCTGTTTTCTTGGTCAGAGCACCCTGTTGGAAAATGCAACTCCATGTTGAATCAAAATAATTGAATGCAGTGTTTTCACTTGCGTAAATTTAGGTTTTAACTACAACCACCAAAAAATGGATTGAACAAAGTAACAGTGAATATTGGAGTGGATAGACGGCCTATATCATTCCAAAAGATTCTTGAATTTTGATACCAAAAGAACAAACACCGCTCTCAATCTAAACAACAGGAGTCTAAAGTCAATCTCCGGTGCACTAAAAGGCAATGTCGCATGTAATAAACACCTACACAAAATAGATATATCCGCCACTTATATTTGCAGATTCTGCTGTGATGAGCAAGCGTCTATGGAACATCTGAACACCTACTGTGATGCACTAGGCCACAGAAGAAACAAGGTGCATACCAACTAGAGGTTGAAGACCTTCGAAAACTCAGGACTGGTTTGAGTCCTCGAGATACTAAGTGTTTAAATTAATGCACAATAGATCAAGCTGGTCTCGGTGTATAGGGGCCTTAGCCTAACTAAAAACCCCCCAATACCATTGACTATTCATAAATAATTTTATGAAACCTTCATATATAAATAATTCTTGAGTTCCAGTTCCAGGATTTATAAGACATAAAAATTTTATTTGCAATACAAATTGAAAAAATTATTTGAATTTAAATAAAATTTAAAAACAAACTGAATTCGTTCCGTAAGTAAAGTACAAACTTTAACCGCAGTTTGCTTGGTTATCTGCACTTCAACTGAGAGCAGAATTTGTATCTGAAGCGCCACTGTGTGCTCATACTTCGGTCTGCGTGTATCTTACAGATTCTAGATTCGGTATTTGTACTTTAACCGCTGTTGTTGTGTTTTATTTATTGTTGCTTTAATGGTTTCAGAATAACGAAAACAAAAACAAAAACAAATAAAAACTTAAACAAACTGAAATAAAATAAAAAGCACTTGATATACACATAACCAGTCGGGGGAAACCTTTTTGTTCTGTGCTCCGGCTTTGGCTCAGGTTTTTATCTTTTATTTGTTTTGCAGACCGCAGAAGCTTAAATTACTCATCGTTTCAGATAGTCGTGATCTGTTTTATGTACTGCAGCACACAACTCTGTATAATTAAGTTATATATCAGGCTTATGGATATGAGTATCTGAGTATCTGTTAGTATGTATGGACTACGTAACGCAGCTATCGGATTATTGTGGCTTTGCGAGTGGATTTCTTTCTATTGAAATATTTCGATATAAAAATAATTTCATCATAGCGAATAGCGAATCTTTTTTTTGTGAAAGATACAACAGGTATTTTAATGGGAAAAAAGCGTAAGTAAAACAGTTCACAATTCGATCTCAAGTTAATTAGAATAAATGTACAAGGTTCGAGGAAAAAAGAAATACTGGAAAAATAAATAAAATTTTTACCATGAGATGGTTTCACAATTACCAAGAATTTTAATAAATTTATAGTGCATAATTCAAAAAAAAAATAAATGCGAGATCAATAACATTAAAAATAACTACATTCCTTATAGGAAACATCAGATCCAACAGATCTATTCCATAAGGTCTGACTGCTCATCTATGTAGAAACTTAAGTGTAAGTACACATCAAATTTTCCTTCAGATCCTATAAATATGATTGGATGGTGCCATAAAAATTCATGGAATTATTATTCAGTATTATATTTCTTTTTTTTTCATATGAAATCAATGACCTAACCAGAATTACGCAAGTAGAAATAGTAGAAAATATTTTGTTTTTATTTTTGTCTTTGTAGTGCCAACCCACTTTAACCTGACCTACTCTGTTCGGTAGTGTACCCAAGAAAACCAGCTTGAGCTTATAGGTATAATGGCTCTTTGTATTACCACAGAATTGGGGTTTGTTCATACATAGACTAGTCGTCAGCATACGACTAATGCCGAAACAAAACGACTTACCATTCTGACAAATGTAAACCAACCTGACAGTTCTATCAACTTTATTAAGTCCCTAATTTTGTACAATGACAGCTCGGTAAGAAAAGGAATTTTAAAAATTTTTGATTTTCTAGCTAAAAATGGGCACTGACACATGAGATGGTGCACAGTTTCGTCCTCATCCTCAAAACCACGACAAAATTCATTACAGGGTAAACCCAGTCTTATAGCATCCCTACCTATTATTATTATTAGTGACCCATCAGCACCGATAGCGACATCGATTTTGAAGTGTTTTAAATGTTGATTATATTGTCAAGAGGGGATCTATCTTTGTCAGTATGGAAAGATTTTAAAAGTAACTTGGAAATTATGTATAATACAATAAATTTGTAAAATAAATAAGAAGGGAGTTAATCTAATTGACGTCAGTGTGAAAGCAAGGCTGCAGCTCTTACAAGTATATAGATAAGAAACTCACTGATTTTTTTAATGAAACTAGATAAAAGTCTCTTTCGGTTCTTTGTTAGCTAAACTGCTTAACTTTAGATGAATAAACAAATCAAGTTATCGAAATACTATTGAGAAACTATAGATTATGAGAGCAAATAGATAAGTTGTAAGAAAATGTTTTAAAAAGGTAATGAAGTCTGTTTGTTGGAATATATATCTAGCAACTTCCATTAAATCAAACTATAAATGGCGATTACTAAGCAGTCGTTTCATCTCTCATTTGATTCGAGCCGCAAACACCGATTACCAAGCTACCTTAATCCACCTTTTTTTAATTTCATTTTAAGCTCAATTAGGACGGTAGTAAAATAATAAAAATTTTTGTTGTTGCAATTCAGTGTTGTTCGAAACCTCTCTAGTAATCTACCTTTTCAATAGTACCGATCCAATACGTCCCGATCTATTTAATGAAAAAATTTTCTTTTGTGTTGTTATAGATTCATAAGCTTGGAGGCACTTCATCAGAACGCCGGATATTTTGCTACGAATTGTATCAATATTCCGTATATTCGGGAGCTTTACCCTCTTAAACTTATTATTAGTATACATTTAAAGTTCTTCTTCTTCTTTGTTCCATTAACTTCCAGTGTGTGGAGCATAGAGCCTCAACAATTCCTCTGAACCGTATTCTATTTGGAGCCGCCGTGCAAATGTCATTCCATGAGTAGCGCGCTGATGTTAATTCGCATTGCATATTTGCTTTTTTCCACAATTTCGCGTTCGAGATGCGTTCTGACCACCATATTTTGAAGATGCGTCTTAGACATTTATTTATGAAGACTTGCGTTCGCGAATTGATGGATCTAGTAAAATCCAAGCCAATCTCTTTTTTTCTTGCCATAATCTCTCTTCTTAATTGCATACATTTACTCCAATGCCTTTTCAATTGTTTTATTTCTTCCAAATAATAGGTTTCTTCAAAATTGGGTTATCCTGGTTTAATATATCCTCCTCCTAGATGGAGATACATACGCTGGAAGGAAGCATATTGAAAACTTGTCCGGGAATTAGGACCAAAGCTGACGAGTTTGGTAGGGTCAGGTAACCTCTAAACAGACTGATTTATAAGACTTGTTCAATTGGGTGAATGGACGTCTTTTTGTTGAAATCTGTCTTGAGATTCCTGGGATGGTTACCTTTCTCAGAAAACTCGATAGTGCAGGACCTAATTAGGAAAAAGCATGGGATTGAATAGTTATTAATAGAAAAGTACCTACCTGAAGATACTGAACAGAAACATGTGCTCTTTAGCGACAAAAAGCTGGTATATTACCACAGAAGATTCAACACCTACAATATGACTGACACGGTCTACAAGCTGGACCAATAGTCTGCATGGTCGAAGTCTTGCTCTGGACAGTTAAGGATGCATGAGGTAGTTTGGATACTTGAACTATATGTAAATAATGTAATCATTGTATTTATTATACTTATTGTGAATAGTGTATAAAGCTAGGTTAAGGCAGTTGTAGAGTAGTTTAATTGTGTAAATATTGTATATGGCTAGGTTAAGGTATTGTAGGTGTTTGGCCTTAATGGTCGAAGCTAAATAAACGAGACAGTGTTCAGTTATACTAGTTGTTATTAGTCCAGTTTGTTATTAGTCCAGTTTGCCAAACGTCAAAATATACACAATTATTGACATTTTTGATTGAATAATGACATTCTGCAATTTTATCTTTTAAACATTTAAAAGAATTTAAAAAATAGTAGGCTTGGCATTTTATAAAAAAATATTAGCTATTTTAAATAAAATGTTATTTTCGAATATGTATAAAATATATCAGCATTAAATTCCAAGTAAATTAATTTTCTGAAAGTTAAATTCAAAAATACCAAAATATGCTTCATATTTGAGGAATGGTCGTATTCATTTCTCACTGGGTTATATGGTTGTGATATTCGCTAGGTATGTGGCAACCGCATTTTAAAACCATTTGGAGGTTCAAATAATAAGTGTCTTTCTTAAGCAAAATAAAATTGAGGTAATTAATGTGGAATATATAATTATATATGCATTCACATAATACAAACAATATATTAACAGGAATATACAAATTAATACAATATATTCTTATATTAATTTTTAATTTAAATAATATTTTGAAAGTTGTATTTGTTTCATTTTCATTTCGTTTCAGTCGTTAGCGCTGCCAAGCAACTAAAATTTTGGTTTTGTTTTGACGTTTGCTAGCTCAACTGTTGAAACGTAAATAATAAAACAACAAACAAGATAAATAGAAATGACAAGCAAGAAAACATAAATTAAAAACTTGTTAATAATAGACGGACAAGTGCTTGATAAGATATTAAAGCAAACTAACCAGTCCATAAAAACTTGTTTTCGATAAACTAAAATAGTTCATTATTAACTGCGGTGCATGTGAGTTGCGATATTCGTGTTTGTTAATTTGCTTCACAAATTAATTTAATTAATTAAATAATTTATTTTAGAAAAATGTTTGCTGTTCCCGGTCGTGCATTGCATTTCGTATTTAAAATTGGAAATCGTGCAAAGAATGCATTCTTCTTCCGAAATATACTGGGCATGGTGGTAAGTGAGAAGCAGCCTCCACGCCGGCAAGCGAAATTCCACAAAATACCAAAAAACGCAATAAATTTGACTTAATTTTAAATTAATTAAAGTTTTAATTATAAGCGTCAACTGTACTTAGAATATTTTGATTTTATTTGATGCAAAAATAATTATTTCTATCTGATTGTACTTGTGTGTGTAGTTGTTGTTGTTGTTGGATTTTTAAGTGCTCCGCAGTTACGTGCTGAGATTGTGCTTGCGTTGTTGTTGTTGTTGTTGTTGTTGTTTTCTAGATAAATCTCCGCCACTTGAAAAAAATTTTTCGAAAGTTATTCAATTTAATTGCTTTTTTTTCTAGGTGCTGCGTCACGAGGAGTTCACGGAAGGTTGCCCCGCGCAGTGCAATGGGTAAGTCGGAATGCTTTTGAATTTTAGATATAAATTTACATTTAATTAATTGCAGGCCCTATGACAATCGCTGGAGCAAGACGATGATTGGTTATGGCCCAGAATCGTCGCACTTTGTTTTTGAATTGACCTACAACTACGGCGTCACCAGCTATAATATAGGTAGATACTCTCACTCTCATTAACAAATCATGTCAAGTAATTGTTTACGTTTTTGAGCTTGTGAAAATGCAAATGAGAAACTGCATTCATTAGTCATTGGTTTTTTCCCACACAACACAATAAGTTTTATTATATAAAACATTTTATTTAGTAGCTTTTGGTCTCAATTTGCTTTGGATCTTAAAAATACTAAATTGATTATTTATACTTAATCTGTATTTTTATGAGTTATTTCCCGTCTGCTTGTGTTTTCTGTAAAGACGCCTAACTGCGTCGAGACAAGAGCAATTTCATATATCTTGGAACGTAAAGCATATTAAGTGTTCTTCAAATAATGGACCAAATGATTACTTTATCATCATCTTATGGAATTCATTCCAAGGTGCAAGCAAATAAATTCTCCAGATTGTGTTCGTGTGACGAAAGAGAACTGTAGGTTTCAAATGCGGTCATGTTTTATTCCATGGCTAACAGCACAACATTGATTGGTTGTTGCACTTGAAGAACATTCATAAAATATACTTGCTACGGGAGCAATATAGTAGTATAGTAGTATTAGTATATATATATAACTATACAGTAGTATATTAATATGTAATATGTCATATATAATATATGAAAAAATATATTAATATATATAATATATAATAATAATATATAAATATATATAATATATAATAATAATAATAATAATATATTAATATATATAATATATAATAATAATAATATATTAATATATATAATAATAGCATAATAATGTATTACTATGAATATTCCTATAATAATATGTACACAATAATAGTGGTAATAGTATATACTAATAGTAGTATATAGTAGTTGATATTACTTCGAAATTAGTTCTAAAGTTGGTCTTTAAAATTGACCATTATAAGTTTTAGCCTTTGACCAAGGCTATCTATCTGGTAACAGTCTATATTAGGTATAACAGTCTGAAAACAGTCTAAAGTAGATATAAAAACCTTTTTAATTTTTCAAAAGACGTTCTCTAAGCTATGCTATTTGAAAATGGGTTCTCCGAACATTCTGCAAGAAGATATTAGTTCTGGAGACTTAAGATTAAAGTGATTTAGGTGTGAGTTACAATAGTAGATTCACCCAGAAAAGTTGATTTCATGATTAACTGAGAAGAGCACATAGTGGAGACTTCCATACACAATACAGTGTATATAATATGTATTATTGTATATTCTATATATAGACACATTTGAAGACAAAAATTATCTATTGTAAAAGATAATTATTTCTATTAATTATTAATTAATAAACTCTTAACATTTTTAATGTAAAATATATTTTTCAGGAAACGATTTTGGTGGTGTAGTCATAAGATCTCAGGAGTCACTGCTGCGTGCAGTACAACACAACTATCCGATATTAGTAGAGAATGATGCGAAAGTCCTCGTATCACCAGATGGTTATAAATTTTATATATCAGAAGAACCACAACCAAGTAACGAAGATCCAGTGGCAGAAATTACTCTGCATACAAATAATTTGGGTATTTCCAAGCTCTATTGGAGTGAGGTGTTGACCATGAGTATGTTGGCTGAAAGCGAAAGTTTTATAAAACTTGCTTACGGTCCCGGTCAGGCCATATTACAACTTAAGTTTTTGCCAGTGCCAATCAATCGGGCCAGTGCTTATGGACGCATAGCATTTGCTGTGCCACTCAACATACAACCGGCAATCGATGCAAGAATTAAGGATATTAATGGCACTATTCTAACGCCATTGACTACTTTGGACACACCCGGTAAAGCTACAGTGCGTGTTATTATACTCGCCGATCCCAGTGGGCATGAAATATGTTTTGTCGATGAGGAAGGATTCTCTGAATTATCACAAGTTGAGACAGGAGCAACTCAAGCACTCGAAAAATACATCATGAAGGATCCTTTCCAGTTACATTAAAAAGCGTGCGAAGTGATTTTGGTTAAAATATTTTAAACTTCTTTGATTTTTATACAAAATTTTTTTTAAAGGATACAGTAAACACATCCTTTAAAGAATGTTTTGTATATCTTGGAAGGTTAACTTAAATACTTAAAATTTCTTGTGATGAAATATGAATTTTGGAAATTATTTAGTTATCAGAAAAATATGTTAATGTTTATAAATGAAGATCTATTGTAGAATTTATGAATACAGTATAAATCCACGTAGCTATTGCGCTACAAAATTGAATGTAATCTTTAAGATATATTGAAATTATTCGCTACTATATCTTTGTTATATCCTGAACATGTTATTACCAAAATTAAAATATATTTAAATATATATACATATAAAATATATTTCTTTGAATTGTTATATATAGAAAGCTTGTTCTTTTTTTATAAAAATTATAGTATAAATTTAAATGTATTATAAAATATTAGATTTTTCACAGTAAACATCGATCGATTACTGGTATTTAAATTAATATAAAGTATTTCGACTGTAAATTGTTAAAAGACTAAAAATTGTTACGATTGATTGCCTTCCATCGACGACGAAGAACACTCAATTCTATTGTTTTTATCAAAAAGATGTGATTATTTGAGTCTTGATAGACTGATAAATCTATAAAATGTTTAAATATTATATATATATATATATATACTATTTATCATATATATATTTATAGACTTATCAGTCTATCTAGGCTCACTTAAACACATTTTCTTGATAACAACTATAAAATTGAGTGTTCTTAGTCGTCGATGGAAAGCAAACGTAACAATTTTTAGTTCCAAGATTTCACGGGTCGTTAACATCGAACTACCAGACTTCATGAGAGAAAATTGTTAAATCCATTTATAAACGTTTATTTGATTGTCGAAACTTGGCGCAATAGTAAAAACAAAAACTTTTCATATATTAAAAATATATTGTTTTAGCCCCGAAGAGATCCATATTACAAGCAATATCACAGAGTTACAAAAAGAATTACAACATATGAAACTCCTTTAGTCCAGAAAGTAAAGAGTGTGGCAAAGGATTTTTGGTGAGTAAAATTTTCTATCGGCAAAGAAATAGACCATAAGAGAAAGATATGCATTTATGTTGTGGGGTCCTGAACTGTGGTTAAGATTGTGCAAACATACGTTATGACTCTGACTCAGAAAATGTTTGGCAGTTTCTACATATATCAATTAAAAAGTATGGGTTAAGAAATACTGCCTTCGGGAATATTTTGCTCATATTCCTTGGCTTTTGATACTTTACTTTTAAAATTGTTGGTAGATCAATCAGCCCACTAAATTTCATTTTAAATTAATTGTTTTGTCGAATCAGTGTTTGAAGTCTGTTGGTATGAGAGACTGCGTCAAACGTCTAACCAAGATCTGGTCCTAGTAGTATAGTGCGATTATATGAACGACTTTAATTGAAGATTTAAGATATAATTTTGCTAAGGTGTTGCTATGCCATTGCTGAACTCCATGTTGATGGGGATTAGGGCAAATACGTAATGATAACTGCTTGAGAACAAGGATTTCCGACAGTGACAAGGACGAGCAGATTATGATTACATAACTGCAGAACAGATTTACATTTGTGGAATATGATGGGTTACTTCTCCTAAACAACAAATGGTATCATCCTTAATTTGACTAATTTGCATGAAAAACAAAATTAATAGAAACAAGAGGTCGAGTCATTTCACTATTTTGAGAAAAAGCTGCTTGGTTTAATTACTTCCCTAACCTTGAGGTTCTAATTATAATTATTTTCAATATAATTATTTTAAAATATTTACCAAAAATCCACCAACGCAAGCAAATGATTCCAGCATGCATCAACGTAACTTCGGTTCATCCAAGTGATCTGCAATTACAACGAAATTCATTGTATGGAAATATAATTAAAGAAAATAATTAATACACTTACTAATATACTTATATATATATTAATTAAATTTATATTTTTTTAAACACTAAAATATATATTCTTTATTATAAAAATTAATATAAATATGAATACTGCCGCATGTGAAATTTCAAACACGTTTATGGAAATCAAAACAAAACACAAAACACGGCGAAGTCGAAAATATGAAAAGAAAGCACAGCGGCTACACAACAAGTACCCACGGCGAATTAGAAAATACGCTACAAACAAAGCTCCGGCGTATTACTGTTTCAGACGGCGACGCATATATCAAGAAGGCACGAGTTCTTGATCATTTGTCAAGGTGGTATTACGCTAAATTTATATAAAAAGATATTGTAATTTCCATATTATTTGAAACAAACTGGCGAACCTCTCGTTACTGTTTGACAATCGATGATGACAGGCGGCCATCTTCACAAAAACAGAAGATGATAAATATATTATATATATATAATATAAGAAAAAGAAATATAAATTATATATATAATATAAAAAGAAATTATAAATATTGTAAGAATTCAGTTGGGTTTTTGGCATTCGTACGGTGTGTTCCAGTTAAATATTAATTAAATGTATTGAATTATAAAATATATTATTAAAAATTCTTGACAAAATATGTACCTATATTTATCTCATATATATCTCATATAAATATAATGATATATAAGTAATTGTTTAAAAATCCTGCGGCGGTCTTACGACAACAGATTCAAAATTAACATATATATATATATATATATATATATATATATATATCAGTGACGACGCGCGCCCTATCTGGAAGGGTGTGCGGCCCTTCTACAATGTTATTTTTACATGTACCACTTAAATTAAAAAAGATAAATTGAAATATATAAGATGTTTTATTAATAATAACTATATTATATTAGGCAACAATATATTCCCAATACAATATTTAATAATTCATTAACAAAATAACATATTAAACAAATTAAATTAATAATTTATATATAAGTTTAATATTATATCAATATGGAAGAAAAAAAACTTTTCATATACTTGTAACATCAAACCAACTTTTTTCAAACAAAAGAGTTTGTACTCAGAACCATACATGTTTATGCAGTGATCAAACAAAATCAAACCCACTTGCAACGTATAAATGTGCGCACAAGTACCCCGCACAGTAAGAACAGAAATTCGTGGGTGCTACTGTTAAAAGGGGAGAGACGAAATGTGATAGAAATGTATGGTGAGATGAGCTGCAAACTTCAGCCGCTCATACAACCACTTTGGCAAATCATCATGTTGGATTCGTATGTGTGCAGTTGATATTCGAGTAGAACAAAAAATTACTCTCATACAATTCCCACTATATAAATCTCTATCTCTGATATTACGAATGGGAGCACACGCACATTATTTTGTTCATATGCAACGTATGAATGGGCGGACAACTTCTTTGCACACAAAGGGGAGAGACGAAATAAAATAGAAATGTTCTGTGATTTGAGCTGCAAATATATGAGCACAACTAACAAGTATAGCAGCTAACAGAAGCAAATTGAATGAGTTTTCATAGACAATTATATTTAATTGTTTTTGCTAAAACTTTAAAAATATATATATGGAAATGTAATAAATAATAATAATTGTTGATGTGAAGATACTTAATAAATTTATATACCTATGTTATATGACATTTTGCAAATTATGTTAGGGTGTTCACCGCACACCTCCGCACCTTAGAGCAGTCGTCACTGATATATATATATATATAATTATATAAGATAGCTCGAAGATACATTCGGTACCACAAGGCTATATATACATATAAAACCGGAGAAGATATATATATTGTAAGAAACCGGTTGGGTTTTTGGCAATATTAATTGAATGTATTGAATTATAAAATAAGTTATTAAAAATTCCTTACATTAAAATCATATCATATATATATCAATAAATAAAATTTATTTCTAATTGTTTGAAAATCCTGCGGCGGTCTTACGACAACAGACTTAAAAGTAATATACATATATTTAATTATATAAGATGGCACGAAGATAGGTACATTCATTCAGTAGCGCAAGGATATATATATTTATCACTTATATATATCCAACAATATTACATATATTCGCGCTAAAGTAGAAGCTGAAGAGTTTCTATATGTATAATCGCATGCATAAAGATAGGTATTTCTAACACATATATTCTACAAACTAATCATATATTTGTTCCCCACTAGGTGACCTGAGAAGAACTCCACGCAATTGCACGGTACACTGCACAACTACCTATCGTCTGGATATACAAATATAATTGAAGTAAAATATATAACAATAGGTCTATTCCTCAACCTACTCGTAGTAAGTTTAAGTAACACTGTGTATACACAAGTGCATTCAACCAGCAAATTTTCAAGTAAATGAGATTATCTGGGAGAGCGTAATACGCTCTTTCATGCAACAGCTTTGTGTAAAATTTGGTGAGAACAGCTGTTTTTGAAAAACAAAACAGTAGAAATAGAAGTTAAAAAATAAGAAAAAAAATAATATATTTTGGAAAGACATTATTTCAATAAAGTGTGTTAGAGTGCCTTTATTATTGTTACAGATGAAATGGAGGGAAATGAAAGAAATGAAATAAGATGTCGCAGCGGTTTGTTGCTGAAGAGGCGTCATGCGATGAATAGTGTTCAGTCTGCAGTATTCAGTGCTGGACAATATAGAACCGAAATGCATATGGATATACAATTCTATCAAATAGTTGCTGTCATTAATATCCATGAACATAAAAATGGTTGGAAAATGTTATAAGTTGTGGAGCAAAGCCATGATGTGAGAACTTATTTCCACAGCAATGAGCGAAGTAGGCTACTCCTTTACTCCAACTCAGGTATTACTTAAATAAAGTTTGAGTTATAGATCATTCAATTTCATTGTTCGTAGGTGGAATCAAAATTCAGGGCTATGGAGCGGCAGTACATAACAGCTAAGTTAAACAATAGCCAAACTGGAAGAAATCGAATGGTTTCTCCTTATCAAAGGTAAAAGCACACTATTAAAACTGCTGTTATTAATTAATTAAGTTTTTTTTGTAATTAAACATAATTTAAAATTTCCTTTTTTAAATACTTATAAACTTCTATACATTCCTTCGTTTTAGTGAACTTGATTAAGTACTATCCAGTAATACGGGTATTAATCCCGAGTTCACTCTGGATGAAAGTGCTCCTTGCAACACTAGCTTCATTTCAACCCGTGCTACAGATATCATATCAGTTGTATATCAGTTGTTATTTACATCAATTACTCATTAAATATTTCAACTTTTTTTTATAATTAGAGGAAGGATCCAGTCGTTATGCAACATTTTTTTGGGACAGGCCAAAAATCAAATCAACAGGCAAGTTGAAAAATCAGCTGTTTGAAATGAGAACAAACGAATTACAACGAATGAAAACACTTTCAAATGGGTCATTCAAAATGAGACATTTTCGGTCAATGTAAACGCCATATAAGCGAAATGCTTTTCAAAGCGAAATGCACAACCAACCAAACCTGTGTATACCGTAACATACCGTAACTGTAACTGTTACGGGCTGCTTGTACGTACGATCTTCTTTTATCATAGACTTCAACCTTGAATACAAGCTTTTGCTTCATTACTGCTTTTTGTAAATTTTAATGTAAATTATTTAACAGAATAGAATACTTTATAAGAATTTACAGCTGTTACTTGTTTTATTTGTACACAAGGGTCTTATATCATATTGTTAGAACACTAAATGGTTTAAATATCTTCTAGTTATAGCACGGGGATTTTGCATATAATTATGGGCACCCCTTTAGATATTCCGTTAACAATTGAATACATGTAATATAACATTTAAGTTTTAGGTTTCAAAGAAAAGCAGTTATTCTATGAGTGATGAACTCAAGCATTGTTTTTTCCCGGACACTAACTTGTTTTTGAAGTCTGAAAGCTTTGGTTGATCTCTTTGATTCTTTCACGGCCTTCTCTTGTTCATCCTTTTGTCCAACAAGTATGCACTGCCGAGCATAACGTGGATCTTAGCGGTATGATTTAGTCAGGTTATGTCAGAGGTTTGTTAACGAAGTTTTTCAAGCCCGACCCTATTTGTTTTAATACACAATATGTAAATGAAAACTATTCAATATTAATACGTAAAATAAAAATTATGTAGCAAATAAAATTATTTATGGACACCAAAATGCCATTATAATAGTTAAGTTAGATTAGGTTACTGGGGCCATCCGAAGACGTACTTAGACCATAAGGTTCACTGTGCTACCCTTAAGAATTTGACACCTGTCACTATAACCTATAATACTGGCCACAAAGTCATTGACACGAGTTAGGGAAATAGAGTTCAGCTATCATAATGAATTGAAAAGTACGACCCTAAGTAGGATAGTCTATTACTTGCGAAAGCAGGACAAAATGCCATTAAGGATTGTGTAAAATTAATTAAAAATACCTTAACAATTACTAAAGAAACTATGAGATGGAATCAATCTCTAATAAAATAATCAAACGAAAATTGTGGATTTTGTGGGAAAGATAATAAGGGCTAGGAAACAAGTGCTAAGAATTTGTGCAATACTTAGGTGAGTAAATCCCTATCTACACCCTAAGCTTTACCCTTACCCTATTCGATGATACTTTCTATAATCTACCTCATTGCTTCTTATGTACTCGGTTCCAAATTAAAGTAGGGCAAAAACAATAACACATCTTATATCGGATGAAAATGTGTCGAATGTACTTTTTTCGATACTTCAACTTATTCTGGCATTTGAACTTAAAAAACAGTCATTGTGTGAGAACTCTTACACTTGAGATTGATAACAAATCTTCACTCCATGTTGATAGAGTACTACCTCTAACTACCTCTAAATGTCGATTGATTTTAAATTACTTCTACATTGCGCATTAACTATCCACAAGTAGATTCCAAAATCTCTTTTGATGCGAGGCGACTCTAGGCTCACTAACACTTTAAATACTGTTGTTGTAACCCGCTAGGACCTGTTTGCAGAT